GGTTCTGGACAGTTGATGGAGCCGGGCCCAGGTTCTGGACAGGTTCTGGACAGTTGATGGAGCCGGGCCCAGGTTCTGGACAGGTTCTGGACAGTTGATGGAGCCGGGCCCAGGTTCTGGACAGGTTCTGGACAGTTGATGGAGCCGGGCCCAGGTTCTGGACAGGTTCTGGACAGTTGATGGAGCCGGGCCCAGGTTCTGGACAGGTTCTGGACAGTTGATGGAGCCGGGCCTGCCTGCTGCTTCCTGTCTCTTGTGTAATGTGATCCATGCTGACGCTCAGCACCGGGCCCATTAGGCCCGGATGGAGCCACTAATGAGTGCTGATGGATTGGACCAGAACCTGGACCACTGAGTGCAGCGGCTCCATCGATTCAATGTTCGGCCCAAAGACAGAATAAATAAACAAAGCCCCAGCTGCACACAAACAGTTCTGCTTGTCAGAACAGGACCAGAACCCACAGAACCAGCTGGACCTCTGACACTGTGAGCACATCCAAAGAACTTTAGATCAACAAAAAGTCCAAATTAAGATGATAAACCAGCGGAGCTAATGTGTCCAATCAGAGCAAAGCTGGTGTGGAAAGCTGGGCGGAGCCTGATCAGACCACTGGAGCTAACCAATCAGAGCAGAAGAAAGAAGACTGCGTGTTTTATAGGAACGTATCTCAAACAACAGATTACACGACTTTTACAGATTAAACCCTTTTACAGATCATGACTTTGAGAGATTACGAGTTTTACAGAACAATTTACAGATTACGGCGGTTACAGATTAGTTTTTACAGATTACGGTTTTTCAGATTATGACTGTTACAGATTACGCATCTTTTACTGATTAAGGTTGTAACAGATTTCAACTTTTACAGATAACGATTTACGGATTAGGGCTGTTACAGATTACGACTGTCACAGATGACGACTTTTACCGAATGACCTTACAGATTATGATTTTTACAGAACGACTTTACAGATTACAACTTTTACAGAACGACTTTACAGATTACGACTTTTAAATAACAACTTCTACAGATTACAACTTTTACAGAATGACTTTACAGATTACAATTTTTACAGAACTACTTTACAGATTACGACTGTTAAGATTAGTTTTTACAGATAACGACTTTTACAGAGTATGACTGTTACAACCGTTACAGATTACGACTGTTACAGATTATGACTGTTACAGATTATGACTGTTACAGATTATGATTGTTAAAGATTAGTTTTTACAGATGACTTTAACAGATTTCAACCATTACAGATTACGACTGTTACAGATTAAATTTTACATATTATGACTGTTACAGATTACGACTGTNTTACAGATTACGACTGTTACAGATTAAATTTTACATATTATGACTGTTACAGATTACGACTGTCACAGATTTTTAATCTCAGATGAAGGATGATCGGGTCAGGTCCTGGTTCAGGTCTGAGACAGACTCAGATCCTGTTTGGTTCTGGCCTAAGGACTGGATGATGAAGGTTTAAGAAATAAACAAGACATTTAACAGAAATAAAGAGTTTTATTATAAATAAACAAGAAGCTGTGTGTTTTACAGAACTTTATCTCAGCTGAACCACAGATTAGGATTATCTGACCTGAGCCAACAGTCAGTTTTTATTATGAGGAAACAAGAAGCAGTGGACCCTGTGTCCTCACAGAGACAAGCAGGACGAGCGTCCATCAGAAGTCCAACCACTCTGTCATGTAGAGGCAGCTGGACGGAGAGATGTCCCCGCCCTCGTGGCAGTCGTCAAACACCTGCAGAGAGGACAGGTGAGCTGAGGCGGGGCGGGGAGGGCAGGCGTGTGGTGGGTGTGGTTACCGGGCAGAGTCCGCAGGGCGTCTTGACGAGGCCGGTGGGCTGCAGGACGGGGTTGACCCCCCGGTACAGCTTCATCTGTCCGTCCACGCTGCCCACCGTCCCCTCCTTGGCTGCGATCACCGTCATCTCCACCTTCCCGTCGTAGATCAGCGTGTTGAGGATGGTCTCGATGTCGTCCATGGACAGGTCCACCTGCAGACACGCAGCTGTCAGACTCCGCCCACGCCCTGCTCGGCGGCTGAAGGAGGCGTGTGATTGGTCACCTTACTGATGCCCAGCTCACAGATGTACTTCCACACCTCGTGTGAGGTGGCGAACGAGCTGTTCCTCTGAACCATGGGACTCTGCTTGCTGTCCCTCGCCGCTTCCGCCTCCAAACACACAACACAGTCAGGTCACATGACCAGCACACACCTGAGCCTGCTGCAGGTCTGCAGAGGACCTGGACCTGGACCTGGACCCGGGGTCACTCTGTATGTTGCAGGTGTTTCAGAGAAACTGAGACATTGGACGTCCTAACCCCAGAACATGTTTATTTATCTGGTTAGGCTCCTCCCACCCGACCCACCATCATGGTTCTGTTTACAGAGCTGCAACACAACTGAAGAGCAGAACCCAGGAAACAGAGTGAACTGCTGACCCCCTGCTGATCAGAACCAGAACCAGAACCAGAACCAGAACCAGCAGATCCAGAACCCTACAGTCCCCTGTCACAGTGTTCAACATTACACTGATCAACTGAAGGAGAAACCCTGTTGTTGTGTCAGTGTGTGTGTGTGTCTGTGTGTGTGTGTGTGTGTGTG